CTGTTTTCCAGAAGCAAAGAATGACTATACTCCATTCTAAAAAACTTCGTATGTTGAAGAAACAGGATTGAATTTATGAATTTATCTAGAAAACCATGTTGCTGAAAAATGAGAATATTTAACAACTTACCTTGAATTTCTAAATTATTCATTCAAAATCTAAATAAGTTCACCACAGGTAAATGTAGCTAACAGGGGTGGGAAAGGGTGTTTATGATTTGCTAAGAAGCAATATATTTAGATACATCTAATAGTCTCTATTTGACAATTTATGCTACAAGAGTTACAGGATAAAAACCGTTTTTGTATCCAATTTAAAACATGAATGTTCTTCTTTTTACCCTAGAGCTTAAAGACGATTTACAGAAGTAGGCCAGTATGAAGTATTGCCACAATAAACTTGTTTTACTTCTCTTTTGTAGCAAAAATTAGAAAATCACTGCAATGGAGTTGAGTCATAAAATACGTTAGCAATAAAACAAATATAAGCTATCACGTTTATTTAATTCCTACTGTTACCACCATCATTCAGAAACTTCTTCAAAGTCTTTTATATATTTGGAAATAATTTGTTTGTTTTGAAAAAAATCAAAGATGAAATAACATTTTTTTTTCAAAATGCTCAGTTGTGAACAAAACTATACCTCATAAAACAAAATAAAGTCCTTTTACTTGTTGCATGATTGTGAGCAGAATTATTTTCATGTTTTAACTGCCTGTCTCTATTTCCACTTATCTTGAAAATAATATTATTTCAAAAATATAAACCTCTATGTACATGCTATGGTAATATACTTTATTTGGCATCATCAGATCTTGATTAAATATATGGGATATATCTACACTAAGCAATTAAGTAAACATCAAAAAAGTTATTTATTGTTAATTAATTCTAACATACAATATTTTCTGTTTAAACATTAATGTTTGCATTAAAGTATACTATAGACAAACTTATTTTATTTGTACTTGGTCCAAGTGATTAGAGTTGTAATTAGTGAAGGTGACATGACAAAAACAAAACAAATAAAAAATTATACATATAACTCTACCATAAATTAATGCAATTATTTTGATATTATTAAGATGTTATCCAAATCGTTTCACAAAAGGCAGATTAACATTTTATTTACTTGTTTTTATTAGCAAATAAGTAGCTTTTGAAAGTTACTAGAAAATGTACAGAGTGTATGGAGGTTTTATTTTATATATTACCTTGCATTTTTAACTTTAAAGGATAAATTACCACAAAATAGACTGCATACACCATTGACATTATCTCTTTTTGCATCAGAAATTGTTTATGAGTCTGGGGATGTGGTTCAGGGTTAGAGTGGGTGCCTAACCCTGGGTAAGGCAAGGCCCTGGGTTCAATCTCCAAACCACAGAAAAATGAATTGTTTTTAAATTTCCTTGGAGAACTAAGTAATATGACAGGAATTCTCAAGTCTATCAATTGAGATTAAGGTAGAAAGCAGATACTCAATAAAAATTCACAATTCTCTAAACAGAGTGAAGAATTGCTGCAACCTGCAGGGCTGTTAATTCAAGTTTCTGGAAGGTTCACTGAGGGGCTGGAGAAAAGACAAACAGACACATAAATAGAGAAAAATAGCTGTATCTTGGGGGTAAACTACAACCCTGGTAAGGAGGCAGTGACCTACAACAAGCTCAGCACATTTATTATATAGGTATAAATATCAAAAGGATTTATTGTGAGAAAGTTTCTTCAAAGTAAGAGAAGCAAGGTCATGAGTATTAGCAGCCTGATTATGATTATCAACTTGTACCTACTACTCTACCCTTAATCAGCTGGCATCTGAAACTCAAGGTCAAGGAACTGAATATCTCTGTGACTGGCACAGAACATCCTATTGAACATGGCATCCCCATAGCAACTGGGCAGTCCCAAAGTGATGTCTTTGCACTGCACTGAGTGTTCCCAATAGAGGCATTGCTCCTGTCACAGGATAGTTCAAAACCCACAATTCAGTCTCTGCTCCCAACAAAAGATGATACCATGGAATGAGATAAGAGTTCTCCACATTAGAAGGAAGAAAGAAAGGTTGAGAGTCACCTCTGGTTTTTCCCAGAAAGTCATCAATAAAAGTTCATCAATAAAAGTTAAGACACAGTATACATACTCAGAAGTAAGATTTCTCTTCCTACAGCTACAGTCAAGGGTGAAGCAGTTCATAGCAGTATAAAACACATTTCTTAGGCTGTGCAATTCCATAATTCCAGGAATCCCGGGATAGTCATCATTCCTACCTCACTGCCACTAGCCATTCAGATTCTACAAGGCAACACTGCGTCAAGCCTTTAACCCTGTTTGAGTCTCAAGACTTCCCAGGGTCTTTTGTCACCTCTAAGTCATACATATGTAGTGTCATAAGTTCTCTGTTAAAATGGTTCTCCATTAATATTTTTTTTTGGTCTTAAGACATATATATATTCTTAATTTTATGATTTTTAATTGATTATCTACAATTGATTATCTTCTATAAAGAGAGGTATTTCCTTGTCAACTACTTGGTTATTCCAGTGCAGAGTTCATGCAAGAAAAGAATGCATGTTTATTTCCCCATATCTACCAATTATCAAAATAGTTAACTTCCTTCTTTTTCTTCAAATTTCCCTTTTGAGCAACATTATGAACTTTATGTTTTTCACATATTTGATGTCTTCCATTCATTGCATTGCTCTTTGGAATCTTTTGGGTGATCTTTCCTTATCTTTTACTAATAGAAATCCATTATTGAGCCTCTAAATCTTTGATCATGACCATAGCAGTTATCAGCCACTTCTTTATGAAAATCTAATCTTTTTCAATCAGATTTTCCATGCAAAATTATGTTCAGGATGCTAGGGATATTTGTATTGATTCCTCATTATTTCTAAATTTCTTCATGGTCAGAGCTAGGAAATACATATGTTTGTATGTGTGTGGCATGTATGTATGGATAGAATTATTGCATTTTAAAATGTTTGTTTTGTTTTCATTTTCACTGAAATGTACTGTGCATATTAAGTAGTGCATATTTTATAAATGCTGATGATTTTTCAAAGATTAAACACATTCAGCCAGATACATGTCTGTAATCTCATTGACTCACAAGGCTAAAACAAGATAATCACAAATTTGGGGCCAGCCTTTGCCACTTCAAGAGATCCTGTTTTAAAATTAAAAGTGATTGGGGCTGGGGATGTGGCTCAAGCGGTAGCGCGCTCGCCTGGCATGTGTGCGGCCCAGGTTCAATCCTCAGCACCACACACAAACAAAGATGTTGTGTTCGCCGAAAACTAAAAAATAAATATTAAAATTCTCTCTCTGTCTCTCTCTAAAAAAAAAACAAAATTAAAAGTGATTGGCCCTGAATCAAGGTCAGGAGTTTGTTGAAGCTGTTGGTTTCAAGCAGGAGCCTAAAGAAATGTCTTTCTATGGTCTGTTGGCTATTTCAGAACTTTAGAAGTGTAATAGTCACCCGCGCTGGCAAGGTAGACAGAACTGTGACCACCCACAGAACAGGCCCAGCGGCCTGCTGAGGGGCAGAGCCGCCCCCCACACCCCGCACCTGCCAGGTAGGCAGAAATGTGACCACCGACAGAAAAGGCCCAGTGGCCCACGGAGGGGCAG